TTACTTTAAAGTCTCTTTTAGTCTTCTTTATTATTTTATTCTTTTCTTGTTTATAAACATATTCCTTAACCCTCTTACATGTTAAGTCAAGTAGTATAGCTTTACTAAGACTCTGTATTGCTATATTACAGTATCATCAATTTTATAAAAAATTTTAAAATTTAAATTTTGATTTTTATAAAATTGTAATAATAGTAATAATAAAACAATAATAAAATAAAATACTATAATAATAAGTATGTAGTATATAATAGATATATTGCTAGCATATATAGAGTAATTTTAAAACTATAGCTACATATATAAAACACTTTAAAGTAGGTTTAAATTTACAGTTTCTATAAAGTACAAATTAAAAATTTATAAAAATTTATTAAAAAATAAAGTTTAATATACGTAGCCGAGTTATATTGTATATGTATTATAGATGCAGAAATTTTACGTCCAATTGTCAACGACATAGGTCATAATATCCGACATTTGCTGTAACTTAGTTACAACAATATAAAAAGTTACGGCGATACAAAATGCCACAGCACTATAAAAGTTACAGTGTTATAGAAAAATAGAAAGTTACGCAATAAAAATGGTTATACGTATTAAACGGTTTTTTTTAATTTAATTATTGATCGATCCAAGAATTTATCTCAATAACTTATATAGAATAACAACGATAATAACCACATAGTAAACTTATTATACTTTACTTTACAGGGTAAAGTATTTTATATTTAATAAAATGGTAAAATAATACTGACTAAGCTTATATATTCTTGTAACGTCGAAAATATTAGTATAGATTTTTGTACTATGTCAAATGTTAAGACGTAACGGTAAACGAGGATAAGTAAAAATAATACGGAAAAGGACTCGATATCGGTATTAAGGCATAAGTCAGACGTAAGTTAGAAGTTATTATGCAAATCAGAAATTACATAAACGTCAAATTTTACGACACAAGTCAAATATTACGGCACGCGTCAGTTATGGCATTTTGACGCATCATAATGTCATTGAGTTTGAGTTACGTCCGATTGACGTAATAAATTTACCATATGTCTGCTATATATAGATAATTGGTAAAATAAAGTTGTACGTAATATAACTGCTAAAGAAAGCAGTTTTAATAAATAAAAAATAATTTTTTTTTTTTTTCAAAAAATATACATACACAATTGTAAAATTTATATATAGTAAAAAAAACTTTTTTTTTTTTTAGCACTCAATTTTGACATGCAAGCGTATACATATAAAGTTATTAGCAAATAATAATACGTATTTCACGTTTCAAAAAAAAAAAATTTATTGTATAATTTTGGTTAACTGTCTTCTCCAACTTACGTAACTTTTTTAGCATTGTCCTAGTGATAAGGCTTATTTTGTGTTATGTTTACCTGTAGCAGAAATATTTTAAATGTATGTACGTACGTATGTATTTTTTTATTAATAATATATATATAGTTAATAAAAAATAATAAAATTTATTAACGGTAAGTATATACGTACGTATGCATATACTGTATATTGTAGATTAGGTACGTAACACACTTTTGATAAGGTATAGGAAAATTTCCGAGGGAAGTGATTAACAGTCGTTTTTTAGCATTTATATAGTAAGTTTAGTAAGTTTACGGTGTCAATCCCAAGTCCCTACAGTCCCTACAGTCCCTACAGTAAACCGATCACACCGATCCAAGATCAGTGACTACAATAAGTACACATAATTTATTTTTTAATTATATTTTAATTAATTATTATTATATTATTTATTTTACGTAGGAAATCAAAATCAAAAACTTTGATTATTGTTGGAAATGATCTTGTATTACGTACATACATCCAAGTACACCTAGATTTACTTATTCAACAATATCGCGTTGAACAATTCACTTTTTAAATACAAGGTGACGGATAGTGTGTAATTAACAATTGGGTTATAAAGTTGGATTATGTAATATACAACTCTTAAACATCTCTGTTCCGAGAATTCAGTAACAGGTAATATCAACGCAGACTTACGTCATGAACACCTAATTATGTGAATTATATCTCTACATATAAAGTCTATAATAAATGAATGCTCTGAACTAGTCATACGAGTCATATGAACACAACTCTAAAAAAAAATTTTTTGAAGGGTACCAAAAATTAATATGGACAACCTATAAAACTTTGTGGAGTTTTAAACAATCCGAAAATCCTTTCTTTGTTGTCGACAAAATATCAATCTTATTTATTCTGGCCCAATATTGCCAATATTGATTATTACTGTTTTCTCCATAATATTTCCTTTAATTCACTAATAACTTAACGCCTGAGTATTAACAGCTCTCTTAAATTGGTAAGCGAAGGTCAAATTACATCTCTGACATTGGAGGACATTAGAGTGTAAATTGCATTAAAAATTACTTATTTTCTTGACTATTCCATTTTATTACTATTCTTGACGTGTTTTCTCCATTTCAAGATAACAAGCAAAAACTATATATCCTACATATATCATATACTAAATTCCTACAGTTAATACATGACTGACGTTCTCGGCTACGTGACCGATGTTCTCCAAAATATTCAAGATGGCAACTTAGAATATTGTAAGAATTTGAAATATCAGGGCCAGCCTAGTTCGAAAATAGAACAATTTAATACAGTTTTGAGAGGCTTGTTAGAGCGTCATATATATTTGGAGAAAGAAGTGGCTTACTATAAATCTTTACTTAGTGAAAATGATTCTGTAATTATAATAAATGATAACAGAATACCAGCTACTTCTGACGAAGAACCTTCTCAAGTAACAAATCCATCAGCTACCATTTCTATTTCTCCTGATAAATATGAGACACTTCGTAATCATATTATATCTTTTTCACATAAAACGGCCGATACCTTTGATTCTGAAAGTGATCCCGAAACTCCCCCCGCTTTGGAACATGATAGAATGTGTCAAGATTGTTTAAACCAATGTACAAATGTAGCTCTAGCTGTTTCTAAAGGTGATTTCAAACAACGTATAACATGTCCTTATTCTACCGGTTCAATGCTTATTTTAAAGAATGCAATGAATCTTATGGCTGAAACAATTGATCATGTCTCTGTTGAACTCATTCGTAATGCTCGTGAAGTTGGTGAAGAGGGTAAACTAGGTGTTCAAGCACAAACTCAAAACATAGAAGGTGATTGGAAAGAAATGATGGTACACTTGAATATGATGGCCAGTAATCATTCAGAACAAGTACGAGATATTGCTGAGGTATGTACCGCAGTAGCTCATGGCGATCTAAGCAAAAAGATAACTGTCGAAGTTAAAGGAGAAACTCTTGTATTAAAGAACACTATTAACACTATGGGTATGCTTTATTTTATGAAAGACTGCTAATCTTTGATTTAAATTGTTTCTCATGACATAATATATATTTATACTAATCAATATTCATTTCAATATTCATTTCAATATTCATTTCAATATTCATTTCAATATTCATTTCAATATTCATTTAGTTGATCAATTAAATTCTTTTGCTTCGGAAGTTACCCGAGTAGCTCATGAAGTAGGCACTGAGGGTAAACTTGGTGTACAAGCTCAAGTTCAAGGTGTTGGTGGAACATGGAAACTTTTAACTGATAACGTTAATACAATGGCTGCTAATTTAACCGCTCAAGGTTTTCATTAAATTATTATTATTTTTTTTTTTGTTCGCATAAAATTTATGCGTAAACCCAATTATAATCTTTTATGTAAATTTTAAAGTTCGTGATATAGCTGATGTATCTAAGGCTGTCGCAAGAGGGGATTTAAGTAAAAAGATAACAGTCGATGTAAAAGGAGAAATTTTGGATCTTAAAAATACAATTAATACTATGGTTGATCAATTACAAACATTCGCTACGGAAGTAACTCGTGTATCACTAGAAGTAGGTACTGAAGGCAAACTAGGTGGTCAAGCTAATATTAGGAATGTCGGCGGAATATGGAAAGACCTTACGGACAATGTAAATCTTATGGCTTCCAATTTGACTAATCAAGTGCGTGATATTGCTACTGTTTGCAAAAGTGTGGCTTGTGGTGATCTAAGCAAGAAAATTACTGTCCAAGTCCAAGGTGAAATCTTGGAATTAAAGATTACAATAAATACAATGGTGTGTTTTTTTTTTTTTTTTTTTTTTTTTTTTTTTTTTTTTTTTGTGTGAATTGTAGTAGAGTTTATACAATATTACAATATGATGTTTTTTGATGAACTGTCATTTCCACAATATTTGTGAAATACTTGTGAAATATTTGTGAAATACTTGTTAAATACTTGTTAAATACTTGCGATAAATATTATGATAAAATGTCAATGAAATGCTTATTCCTTTTAATTATAATATGTTAAATAATTTAAATTATGCAGGTGGAACAATTGCGTATGTTTGCTGCTGAGGTTACTAGAGTTTCTCGAGAAGTGGGAACCGAAGGTATGCTTGGTGGTCAAGCCGAAGTTCAAGGTGTTGCTGGCACTTGGAAGGTTTTAACTGATAATGTGAATACTATGGCCTCTAACTTAACGGCTCAGGGTAATTACATATATCACTTTTTTTTTTACATTTGTTAAATTATTATTATTTTTTTTAATATTAATATTTAATCATCTATCCATATTAAATTCAGTGCGAGATATTGCTACAGTTTGTAAAAGTGTTGCCTGCGGTGATCTTAGCAAAAAGATTACCGTTGACGTTAAAGGAGAAATTTTAGATTTAAAAAATACCATAAACACTATGGTTGATCAACTGCAAACATTTGCAATTGAAGTAACTCGTGTCTCTTTGGAAGTGGGTACTGAAGGAAAATTAGGTGGTCAAGCTGTTGTTAAAGACGTTGGTGGAACATGGAAAGAACTTACAGATAATGTAAATATAATGGCTGCTAATTTAACTACTCAAGGTAAGTTTTTTTGATATTAATATAATATATTAATGTAATATATTAATGTAATATATTAATGTAATATATTAATGTAATATAATTGTTGCTAAAATTTTCTTTACCAATTTTCTTTACCAATTTTCTTAGTCCGATCAATCGCTGAAGTTACTACTGCGGTCGCTAGGGGAGATTTAAGTAAAAAGATCATTGTAGACGTAAAAGGCGAAATTCTTGATTTAAAAAATACCGTTAATTCTATGGTAGATCAACTACGTATGTTTGCAGCAGAGGTAACACGTGTAGCACGCGAAGTTGGTACGGAAGGAATTTTAGGTGGTCAAGCTCAAGTTAAGGACGTTGGTGGAACATGGAAAGAGTTAACAGATAATGTCAATACGATGGCGAATAATTTAACAGCTCAAGGTATTAATTTTTATTTACATGATTCATAATTTATGATGTAATTATTTACTATTTATATAATTATAAAATATAGTACGTGATATTGCCAATGTGTCAAAAGCTGTTGCACGTGGAGATCTTAGCAAAAAAATTACTGTCGACGTCAAAGGAGAAATATGGGATCTTAAAAATACTATAAACACTATGGTAGATCAATTACAAACATTTGCCACAGAAGTAACACGTGTATCTCTGGAAGTTGGAACGGAAGGGAAATTAGGAGGACAGGCCGTTGTAAGTGATGTTGAAGGAACTTGGAAAGTCTTAACAGATAATGTTAATATAATGGCTGCTAATCTAACAACTCAAGGTGATTATTCTGTGATTATTCTGTGATTATTCTGTATTCGTACCAAAAGATTTAACTTAAATTATTTTATATTTAATTTCCTAGTTCGATCTATTGCCGAAGTAACAACAGCTGTTGCATGCGGTGATCTAAGTAAAAAGATAACTGTAGATGTTAAAGGAGAAATACTAGAACTTAAAAATACAGTTAATTCTATGGTAGATCAATTACGTATGTTCGCAGCCGAAGTAACACGTGTTGCTCGTGAAGTTGGTACTGAGGGAATGCTAGGTGGTCAAGCGGTTGTTAAAGACGTTGGTGGGACATGGAAAGAGCTTACAGATAATGTAAATATAATGGCATCTAATTTAACGGCTCAAGGTAAATTACTAAAATTTTAACGTATATAATAAGTCATCTAAACACATATTAATCATTTTTAAAATCATTTTTAAAAAAACTTTTTTAAGTTCGTGATATTGCTACTGTGTGTAAAAGTGTGGCTTGTGGGGATCTTAGTAAAAAGATTACTGTTGACGTAAAAGGGGAGATTTTAGATTTGAAGAACACAATAAATACTATGGTGGATCAGTTATCTACCTTTGCCGCCGAAGTTACACGTGTAGCTCGTGAAGTAGGTACCGAAGGCAAACTTGGTGTCCAAGCTAAAGTTAAAGATGTTAAAGGAACATGGAAAGAAATTACTTCAAATGTTAATACTATGGCTGCAAACCTGACATCACAGGTAATATTTCTCTTTCAAGCAATTTTTGAAACCTTTTTTTTTTGTGTGCGTGTAAAATAATTTCAATTTTTTTTCCAATTTATTAGGTTCGAGCTTTTGCTCAAATTTCTACAGCGGCAACGGATGGAGATTTCACACAATTTATCACTGTTGATGCATCAGGTGAAATGGATTCTCTTAAGACTAAAATCAATCAAATGGTTTACAGTCTTAGAGAGAGTATAAAGAAGAATTCCGATGCAAGGGCAGCAGCAGAATTAGCAAACCGAAGTAAGAGTGAATTTTTAGCCAATATGTCACATGAGGTATTTTTTTTTTTTAATATCAAATGTTTTAAATATTTAAGCATGTTCTAAAATGGTTAAATTTATCTTCATTTACAGATACGAACACCAATGAATGGTATTATCGGGATGACTGCATTGACACTTGAAACTGAGTTGACACGACAACAACGTGAAAATTTGATGATTGTTAGTTCTTTAGCTAATTCTTTATTGACAATTATTGATGATATACTGGATATTTCCAAAATTGAGGCAGGACGAATGAATATTGAACAAATTCCCTTCTCGCTTCGTTCTGCAGTATTTGGCGTTCTTAAAACACTAGCTGTTAAAGCAAATCAGAGAAAACTAGATCTTATATATAATGTAGATAATGGAATACCAGATCAACTTATCGGTGATCCTTTACGTCTGAGACAAGTTATTACAAACCTTATTGGAAATGCAGTCAAGTTCACCACAGAAGGAGAAGTTGTATTATCTGTGAATACTCAATCAATTGAAGGTGATCAGGTGACGCTGAAGTTCTGTGTTAGTGACACTGGTATTGGAATCCGGGAAGATAAGATTGATATGATATTTGACACGTTTTGTCAAGCTGATGGATCAACCACAAGAAAATATGGGGGTACGGGATTGGGACTATCAATATCTAAACGACTTGTATCATTGATGGGAGGTAATTTATGGGTAAAAAGTGTTTTTGGACATGGATCAGAGTTCTTCTTTACAGTTAAGGTGATACTTGGTACAATGACCAAGGAGCATGTCAGTCAAAAAATGGCGCCTTGGTATGGTCGACATATTTTGTTTGTTGATACATTACACGATAAAACTGGAGTAGTTAATATTATAGAAGACTTGGGACTCCGACCAAAGATAGCTAGATCAGTTGAAGAAACAGCAATTATCACCGCATCTCGTAAATCAGACACACCTTTGTTTGATACAGTAATTGTTGACGATTTAAATATCGTCGAAAGGTTGCGAGAGATCGCACATTTAAGATATATTCCTATTGTATTATTGGCACCAATGATTCCAAATTTAAATATGAAGAATTGCATTGATCTTGGTATTACATCATATAGTAGTACACCTACAAGTACACCAGATTTAATGAATGTTTTATTACCCGCGCTTGAATCTTATGCATCAGTACCAAGCGATTTTGCAGGACAACAACCATTAGAAATTTTAATGGCTGAGGATAATATTGTAAATCAAAAATTGGCACTCAAAATATTAGAAAAATTCGGACATAAAGTTGAAGTAGTTTCAAATGGTAAATTAGCTGTTGAACAATTCAAATGTAAACGTTATGATCTGGTAAGGTTTATTATTATTATTATTATCATTATTTAGGAATTTACAATATTTGATATTTACAGTGAATATAATAATAATATTGTCTAGATTTTGATGGATGTACAAATGCCAATAATGGGTGGATTTGAAGCCACACAGAAAATACGTGAATATGAACAAGACAAAGGCGGTCATGTACCTATTGTAGCGTTAACAGCTCACGCTATGATAGGTGACCGAGAGAAATGCCTCTCAGCCGGAATGGACGAATATGTTACAAAACCATTAAGTTAGTAACTGTTTCTTTTTTATATATAGCCCTGGGATGTTTTAAGATTTTTATAATAATAATTATACTTCTTCCTAATCACATAGGAACTAATGATCTAATTGCCACAATAAGTAAATTTCTTGTAACAAATCCAATTGAAGATGTATCAATAATTCCCGATCATCGCAACGCACCTCAAGTGTAAACCTACGAACTACCTTTTAATCATCTAATTGGATTTTAATTTTTATTATGATTATTATATATATATATATACAGTATATATGAATTTTTATTTTTGAAATCAATGAATTTGGACTTTTTACTTTATTTTTTTTAAAAAAAAGTTTTTTTTTAAATATTGTTTCGCTTATATATATATAATTGTAAATTAATATTTGTTTTGAGTTCTAAATTTTTTTTAACTTAAACAGTTTTGACTAAATCCACATGTATTTATATATAAGCAATATGTTTGATTTTTTTTTAATGTACAATTTTTCTTTAACTAAAGTCATACTAAACAATACACTCTTGCCGGACAGGACTAAATATTTTTAAATATGTATACTTTTTTTCTCATGAATGAATAACTGTATCTACGTATGATAATTTTATCGAACAAAACATCGGTTACCCAATTATTTTATTATCACTACGCAATAGTTGACGTATGTATCATATTGATCTACAAGAACTCATACAAATTTAATTAATTGTTTCTCGGGTCAAATTTTGGAAAATTCGAAAAATTTTTTATATGTTGATAGTCGGGTGGGTTTCAAAAAAATTTTTTTATTAGTCAATTAAATTTTCGATCAATTTTTTTTTATTGATTATTTCATTTTAAAGTCGAGAACTTTGAGTTAAGCTTAAGTCCGGATTTAATTATACCCGGGATTTTGATAGTAACCGGATTTAATAATGATATTCTAACTTCAATTAATACCCAAGATTTTGACAATAACCGGATTTAATATATTATTGTTGTGAATGAATAAAACAATAACAGATCTACAGTATTATTATCGTTAAAAATCCGAATATCATCTCTAAATCTGAATTATTAATTGTAAAAAAATCCGGATTTAATTATCAACTCAGTTGATAACGTTTGTACTACGTATCGCTATCAGAGATGAGCAAGGTAATTTACTTATTACGTAAAAGTTAAATCACAATATGCGATAATTTAGTATGTTATTAATTGTAAGCATATATTATTAGTAATTGTCGCATAGTGTGATTTAACTTTTACGTAATAAGTAATCGCTATGTATTTGGCGTTTTTCAAAATTGCTTCTAATACGTAAACGTTTTGTGGGTCACTGATCTAAATCATTTACATGAAAGTTACCCCCAAAGATTAAGACCTGGGTACGTATTATTCACTGTCCTACCGGCCTATTTCTTGAATAAAACCCGGGGTACGTACGTACAACTTTATTAATTTATTACTTTTCATATGAAACCCCGGATACTATAATGATATAATAAGCGGTAAACATAAAAAGACCTTGTGTAGCAACGTTATCAAATATAAGTAGCCAACCAAAAACGAATTCTCCCATGCTATGCAAAAATAAATCCGGATATCGATTACCTTAATTTGAAATATGAGTGACGCCAAAGAAAACCAGCCTTTAATACATGCGTGCGTACGTACGTACATATTTACTTGATTATGTATCATATATTGTATGTCTCCGGCAAGGTTCAGCCATAAGTATTCGACCTAACACAACAATGATCACCAGCAAAACAGATAACACTGCAACAGTGTTGCACACGGATATTGGCTGCACATTAACCGAGACACGATATTTTCAGTGTCCACGTTCGCAACATGATTAAACAATTAAGATATTGTTCTATTACTAAAAATTTTTGCATAAAAAAATAGTATTTTTTTTTGCGAATATAAAGATTTTAATTCTAATATTTAAAGTTAAACTGAATATCAAAATATATAGGAATGGGTTCTTTGTGTCAAAGTCTTTCTTTATTCAATAGTAAAAATCTAACCTATTGCATTGTACTGCATCTAATCTTATTCAAATAAATGAAATATAAACATTGCATCTAATCTCAAAATGGTTCATTCTTTATCAAGATTTATACAGTGCAATATGATTTTAAATAGTGCATATCATAGATTTAAAAGCATCCAATCTCAATAAACATCCAATCTTAATAAATATAGTTTTAAAGGCAGGAAAAAAAAAGGAAATTTATGGAATTTTACCATATGCGTATTACACCAGAAATTTTAAGTGATACACAATGACACCAGATATTTATTCATTTTGGAATAATTATGTGGGAAATTTTATGTATCTTATGAATATTAAGTCAAGTCATTGACCCGCGGTTATTGTGAACACGCCACAATTCTATATAAATCTAATGAAGAAATGAAAGAAATGGTAAACTAATAAACAATTTTATTTGAAATTGGTCTCGTGATCATAAGTCAAAAACACGCCAAATTCGCGGCTTATCAACATTATTTACGTATTTAATATATTAATAAAATACTTAATCATATACTGTATATTTGATATTAACCTGTTTATCAATATTGATATTAAAAATAAGTACTTTATCATTACAATATACAGTATTAATCTGTGTATCAATATTACAGTATTAAAGACCTATTAAATACATTATTTACTTATTACTGTATATTTGATACGTATTAATCTGTGTATCGGGTATCAACATTAAAGGAGTTGATTCGGCGGTCTTAATTTATGATAGCTAAGCTCTTATTAAAAATATAGTCAGCCATGTCCGAAGGTTATTTACAAAAAAATGAGATTTATTATTTATATTACGTCTCTTTACCAAGGTATATATAGGTGACTAAATTAAAAATTTTTTTTTGTAATACTAATGTTGATCATAAATGGTTTATTTTAGTTATTTATATATGGATCAAAGGAAGCTGAATATTGAATAACCTAACACATAAATTTTACAATTAATTATAGCTAATTAAGCTATTTAACCACTTTTTTTTTATTAAAAAATAATTAAAACACGTACCGTAAATGATCGAATAAAAGAACCGGACCTCTTACATTCCACCGATTTTAAAACCTATAATAGACCCAGTATAGTACTGTATATGGTTGAGAGCTTATACGTATCATTAAAAGGAGAATTTTAAAGAGCATGGCGTATTTTTTATTTCTAACGGGCAGTTTGATATTTGAAAAAAAATTATATTTTATTCGCATCCGAGTATAATACATAGTGGATCTGTGGGAATATTTTATCCGACCATTTACGGTATGTAATATGAGGAGAATTTGATAATTTTCCGATTGATTAAAATTTGTTAATACTCAATTACTAAATACTATTCTGATCTGCATCAATTAGTAACTGCCTAATAACTATATACGTATCATTAATCGTGAGAATGCTCAAATTCCCAGGATGACCATATTTATATATCATAATCTTAATAAAAAATATACGTAATAAACTATTATTTATAAATTTTAACTTTAATTAGTATATGGTCGTGTAAATTTTTTTTTATTAATAAAAAAAAACAAAATACAGTATAATTTAAACTTAGATTTATTATACACGTAGTATATGTACACGGATACTAGTTTGCAAATACTGTATGTATAACATGCCAATCAATTTTTATAAACCAAAAACAAATTACTAATAGTTATAGTATGCTTGGAATTAAACAAGATTTAATTTATATCAAAATTTTGCAAAAAATTTTTTAGTTAAAAACAAAAAAATAGTTTTATATTGAAATTTTAAGATTTTATTAATATTTTAAAAAGGCTGTTATTTTAAATTATATATATATATAATTATGCAATTTGATTAGTTTTCTATAGTATATTGTCTATATATATATTGTTATATTAGCAAATTTTATTAGTTAAATTTATTTAGATTATATATATTTTATTAGACAATTTTTATTATTCAAATTTTATTAACAATTTTTATTACATATTTATTATATTTTCATATATTATTTATATTATTATTATATATTTTATAGTGTTACAGAGTTGTAGCCTTCTTAGTAAAATACAACCAAGTAACAAGGTCACTTGGTACAGTGATTGACTATTGCAAATATATACGGGGTGGAGGTGTAGTTGTTCATTTAATTACATAGCAGCAGGCAAATGGTTTAAGATAGTAACAGTATATAAGATAGCTTTATTTAATATAAGAATAGTGATAAGCCTTGCCTGTAAGAATTATCTTAGAGGAGGAATATCACACTTTACAAGATAAAAAGTGGTAAAGAATATCAGAGTTTAAGCAAAGTATAGGAACTTAAGAATTGGCAGAAAGGGGAAAAGGCACCCTTTATATATCTTTTTACCTATAAGGAGGATATATGATACACAGTATATGAATAATACTTGATAGGTGAAGAAAGTGAACTTGTGTAGAGGGGAAGTACCGTAAATCACCGGATAAGGTATCCAGGTATTTTCAATTACACGTGATAAAATTTTGATTTGTACCCCTGGGTATATTGTATGATGAGGGGTATATTATATGGGGGATCTTTTGTAAAGAGGGTATCGGTATATTATATAGGGGATCTTTTGTAAAGAGGGTACCGGTATATTAAATAGAGAAAAATCTGTATTCTTGCAAAATCGCTTTAATACAATTTTATGTTTTATAATATGGCAATAAGCTGAATTTTTTTTTACATTGGCGGTTCTATGATATAATATTTAAATATTTATAAGGGGGGAGGTTAAATATGCTTGCAAAAATTTTTTTCGCAGTTTTTTTTTTTTTTTTTTTTTGCAAAAATTTTTGCAAATTTTTTTTTTTTGTTTTTATGTTTATACGATATAAATAAGATTTAAGTTTTTTTAAATCGCATTATGTTTTTTGATATCTTTATATTAAGATAACCTTTTTTTAAGCTATAAACTTTTTTTAAATAATAAATTTTTTTAAAAGAAATTTATTTTTTTTACTATGGTACATTTAGAAAGTATTTTGTCAA